CTACTAGGTTACATAGTCCATCCCTTAAACAATCGTAGAGCCAATGTGGCATATTTCCTAATGCTTTCATCCAGCCCAGTTTTAAAATGTACAAAGAGCAGGCCTTCCCGCTCTCCCCCAGGGAGAAAGAATGTGGATACACTTTGAAGAAATGTGTATTTCAAATATGGGCAGAGAGTTTTGTTTTGTATTTTTAACCATGCAATGGAGCTCAGCAGATCAATGCAAATGGAACGTATTTTATAGTGTTTTGCAGTAAAAAAGGAAAAGCCTCCATCAATGCATAGTGCTCCCTAAGGGCCATAAATGGAGACTAGAAGTCCCATTGTATTCGCTGCAATGAAGACAGGAATAGCAAGACATGAATACTTGATGCAAAAGAAAAGCCAGATTTTGTCTGAACATTTGAAAATATTTTTAAGAGCAGTTCATGTCTATGCAAGGGCTTCCTCTAATGCCACGAAGGTCAGCAAGAAGCAGCCCCTTACACAAATCCTAGTCCCTCAAAGTTTAAGCTGCCCCCAACCTCTGCTTCACCGACAACTCACCAAATTCATATGTGGAAAAACTACTTCTTGCAGTTCACATTTCCCATTTTCTCCTCTTTTTGCCTAACTCCCTTTCAGACTAGACAACTTTCAACCAATTACCCATTTGCTGCCTGGATATTTCAAATGAGCTAACAGCAGTTTGGTAAACTGAAGAGAGCAATTCCCCTTTAACATTTTGCAATAAAATTAATGGGTCAGATTCAGCAAAGAGTTAATGACTAAAATAGGATCAGTGTTGTAAAATAAAATTGATAAGGAATATTTTGATTTGCCAAATTAGATACACCATAAGAAGTCCTAAGGTTACCAGAGAATTTCTGCTTACTTACAAAAAAACGGCCCTTTCAAGAAGTATAAACTGGGAACACTAGCCACTACCATTTTTTATTCCATAAGCAACATTTGTAGTATTTGTATACTTTAGACTTTTAATCTAAAAAAACATAATTAATATGGTAAAATTCCAAATAAATTCTTTCCATTCACCTTCAGGTCACACAAGCAAGCTTTAGACAGAACATGAATGCTTTTATAAGTGATGTAAGCTAACCAGTAAGGAAACCAACTTGCTGTTCAGAGAAGAAACCCAAAAGCATGGATGCTACCAGCATCCCTTTAAATGTGCTTGAAATGTCCTAAGGAAAGGATTCCTCTTCACATTTGATGCTTTTCCTGTTCTTGAGAAGAAACAGGAAGTGCCCCAAAAAAATAAGTTGGTAATAAATTGTTCAAAAAGATAAACTTTTTTCATTTAACCTGAAAGTGAAAATTGTTTGCATTTCTGGTTTGTTACAGAGCTCTGAATTGTTTTTTGTTTTATTTATATCACTGCCTTGATCCCTACCTCCAATCCCTCCCCTGCCCCACCCACAGTCAAGTGCCCAAAAAATCTAAATTTTGAGAAAATTAGCTGACTGCATACCTACTCGGCCACTGTGTCACATTTGTTCATCTTTACACAAATCACTGTAATCCTGATTTCATGCCATGACCTTAAATCAATAGTGTTAAAATATTCTGTAACCCTTGGATTATTTCATGCACGCTGATTTCTCTTTGAATGTGTACATTTTAGGGTTGACAGTACAAGGTATATTCTGTGCTCTCTCTTGAACTTAGCAGGTTTTGACAGATTTATGTAAGGACAGATGGCCATTACAGGCTGAAGGCTGACAAGAGGCAGTTCAGAGCATTGTTAACACACTTGCACAAACTCTCAGCAGTGCAGCACTGTGCAGAATGTAATTCAGACTATAGCTTTTTTATTGCTGCCTATTTTCTTTTGTCAAAAGAGCCTGCTGTGCACAGCAACAAATGGCTGCCATTACCCAGAATGTAATGGGTGTCAGACAAATCACGTAACACAAACAATCAAGAGTATGTAGGTCATATTTCAACAGAGCACAACCTTAGCAATATTTATGATTACTGCATTGAAATGTGCTCTATAATAAACAAGTACCTCTACATCACTCACACTTATGTACTTCTGCACAGCAAATCTGTTAGGAGTGGTACATACTCTACAATCATACCCGTTAAATAGCCTTTTCTTAAAAGTAAACGGCAAGTATTTTTTCATGACATGCTATAAAACCATTTTCTTTGTAGGGACTTTTCTTTAATTGAATGGCTTCAGTAAATGTTAAGTTTTTACTTTGCCTCATGCCTTCTATAGTCTATGAATTTACTCAATAATCTCTGCTTTAAGATAGTGGATATCAATTTACTAACATTGCTACCAAATCATCACCACCTTCTTGCATTTGTGTGGCTACAGAATTTCAGTATTCCAGCTCCACCACCTCAGTTTAATGACCTCCTATATAGTAAAGGAAAAAGTATGAATGGAAAGGAAAAATATGCCCAAGACAAATGTCACAAGTCACTGTACCAAAAACTGAGTAACTCATTTACCTCAGGTTGATCAGAATAAATTAGAGGAGTGTCTCACAGTTAAGTGTAAATTAGACTTTTTATACCACTTTTACAATGCTGTTTTATATAGGCAACAATCTTTTTGCACAAATTGGTGTTACTGTCAGCTTATATAAACACTTGATGATGTTTGTTAGTGCATTTTGGGGGACCTTCCAGTCTTCCAGGAAATGCATCTTCTGTATCATTCAGTAAGTGCAGTGAACTCATAAGAGTTATTAAAAATGGATTGTTTCATATCATATGAGTTTGAAAATGGGATTATCAAGAGAAACATTATTTTAGACCACTTAAAGCACTGAATGCAAGATAATGGCTTGATTCAAGAAAAAAATAGATAGAGCTTTTGTATGGCACAAGACTACAGAAAATATAACAAAATTAAACAACCATCATATAATAAAGAACTACAGGCTTGTTGAACACCTAGTTTAATCTTATTGTCAGTCCTGAAGAGAATAAAATGCAGACCCCTTGAAAATATCTAATAATTTACTAGATTTTATTCCCTCTGGACAAATCTCTT